GTGCTGCACAGATTACAAAAGTGACATTCCACGGAAAGCTCTTCCGGTTTTATGACTGTCAGTGTGGAGATTTTCATCTAATAAACAATACGAGTATATATGCTCTTTTGAAATTGTATCTTTGTCAGTTGCTATTGTGCCAGTATCAATGCCTGATGGACAGAGGTTGCACAGAGTTCAAACAGAGATTTGTATATTGCAAAATTAATTTCCTCTTGTCCACTTTCAGCCTCAAATCATTTCTGTGCATTTAATGAATACAATGAAACCTGTTGAGTATATGGAATGACACGATTATAGTCATCATTCTACTATATGGATTATAGTTATTATATTACAACATTAGTTATAGTTCTCAAACTTTTCAGGCTGTGGAGCTTTGATCAAATAAAAACTTAGATGTTTCAACATTCTCTTTGGAAGGGTTTTCAACCTGGTGTCTGGGGACTTCTAAAGGGGCTGATTTTTAGTAAGGGTTTATTTATTTATTATTTATGTTTCCGTTCTAAATTATCTTTACAAATTTATCTTTCCACATAGTTTTCCCTTACGGCTTTTTACCTTTATCTTGCTCACTGGGTGTTGTAAGCTAGTTTTCTTAGTAAAACTGCTTTTTGAACTATACTTATTCTGAAAATCGCTATAGCAATGCATTTGAATTGAATATGTTTCTCTTAAGCTTTACACATAATAAAATATACAATGCTGACTTGAAGTAAATATTTTTCAGGTAACTTTTAAATAATTTGTTTTGGATTTAGTACAATTACAGTAAAATACAGTACAGTTGTGGAAACAACATGTTGTCTATATAAAATTAATCTTAATATATTTTATATGAATATTATATGTTTATATGCTGTAAATATAAATTTTCCTTAAATGGGTACATGGAATATTACATAAAAATGTATAACTGCCTTTATATTTTAAGACAGGAGTCTGGATATCATATTTGAGGATCCTTGGAATTGATACGTTTGAAAACTTCTACTGTGATTTTCTTAAGCATTTTCAGAAATAAAAACATCTAAAAACAATAAAGTAAACAACAACAAAACATTTTAAGTTGTAATATTACAATTACAATATTACGTACACTGCACTGCCAATAGAAAAAGCATTGGCATATACAGTATATAAGTACATGTTCACAGTGCAAATAGGAATAATGCTCTGTAACTATTTTGTTGCCTAGTGCAAAATTTTATCACACGTGCAAGCATCTACTCACAATCTAGGTTAAATATGTAGATTTTTCAGCCCAATGTAAACTCATTAATTTTGCATATATTCTGCAATTTGATCTTCAAACTACTCTGTCTGGAAGCAATTAGAACTGCTTACGTTAGATACCATAAAATTGAGTCAATGGCAAGACACTCTTTAAGTTTACAGAATAATCTTGACTTCTTTTTCAATCACCACCCTTTTCAGTGCAGAGAATAAAATTGTGGTGCAGGCAGTGTTAAGAAACAAGCATTTACTGTGTATGCAAACACATAATACATCTGCATAAGCACATGATTGGATTGGAATAAAACCCTTTTTTACGGATCACATCTGAGAAATGCACACATAATCATCCCGTTACAGGAAGTGTATTTCATCTCTGCTCTTATGCTCCGCTGGCTTCATCTAGAGCTTGTTTTTCTTTTTCCTTTTTTTTTTAACTCAACCCTTAACAACATTCATGTTCCTGATTACCAATTATACCTCTCATGGTCCTTTCAAATAACTTTAATTACTGATTAGAATTCGGCTCTCACAAAGCCGGTACTTGAGTGTAATTGCTCAATAAAGAGTTGAGTGGAAATGTGTGGTAATAAGTAGGTGTTCTTGCTGCTTGTCTCATTAGCGAGTAAGCACTGCCTTCGCTTCCCGGTCCGCATAAATGGAGCCTCTCTCATTCATGGCACAGGGGCCCCCTGGTCTCTCTATAGCAGAACCAGCAACCAGATAACATGTCCCAAACTCGCTGACCTCACACCGCAGACACCTCACTGATCAAATATATAATATCCGTACTTGTTTTCGTAACACTGTGTCACAAAGCAGAGACCTATTTAGCATTAGCTGTGAGCGAATGATGCCTCATAGTTGGCCGTTATGTGATGTTACATGTTCTGTTTACCTGATGGGAGGCCCTGCAACTGTTACTGTTTGTTCTCATGTGCATTTTTGAGAGGAAAATAACAGGTTATAACTCTGCTTAACTGCCTTGCTGTGGCTGCTCATATAGACAATTGCCTACTATAATATAGTAAAAACAATAATATTGTGAAATATTATTACAATTTAAAATAACTTTTATATTTTAAAATTATAATTCCTGTGATGGCAAAGTTGAATTTTCAGCAGAAATTTGTCCAGGCTTCTGTGTCACATGATCCTTCAGAAATCATTCTAATATGCTGATTTGCTCAAGTAACATTTCTATTATTAACAATGTTGAAAACAGTTGTGATGCTTAATATTTTTGTGGAAACCATTATAGTTATTTTTAGTATTCTCATTCTCTCATCCATCTTTTTTTCCACTGAGAATGTCACAGTGCATTGTGGGATTGACTTCTCTGTAGGGATGTAACGATTAACCGCGAGCCGGTTAAAAATCGATTCTATTATAGTGTTATATTTCAATTTCACAAAGAAACATGCAGCATTTTGTCCAAGCAATAATAAAAGGACACATTTAATTTATAATTTATCTTAAATCTCATTTTGTAAAAAAAAAAATATTGTGAATCGAATCGAATCGTGAAATCAAAATCGTGAATTGAATCGAATCGTGAGTTGAGCGAATCGTTACATCCCTACTTCTCTGTGGAAAGATATTGTATTGCTGCCTTAGAAGGTGGCTAAAACAATGAATTAGTTTAGCTTTTATGTCAACCTTTGCATTGGGAGTGCAGCTAAGAGAGGCCACTTGTGTGGGCAGCTCACTAGGCTTTGGAACAGAGCTATTAAAGGCACAATATGTAATATTTTTGCTGCTATCACAGCAAATTTGAAAGTGTTAAATTGACACTCACAGTGAGAAAATTCATGTTTTCTACAAAACTAAACCGGAAATCGAGGGGTTATGACGTCATTGGCAGGCGACACAATGACACTATGGTTATACCTTACATTGTTGGTTATACCTTACCTCCGTGTCACTAGTTAAAATTGCTTATTTCTCTGGATTTAAACATTCTTTGAAACATTTGGGATAATGTAAGTACACAAGTCAGCAAAATATATAACAATGTTCTAGTGGTTTTTGGATATTTTAATTTAAAAAATCTTACATATTGTGCCTTTAATTAATATTATTAATGAATATTATCGGGTCATCTCTATGATATTTGCTTTTTGAGTAAAAATGCATTTACTGTTAATTATTGTTCAGAGGTTATACTGCTGTCAATCTAACTAGTCATTATTTAATTAGTAAATTACTGTATATTTATTGAACCTTCATGCTTATAATTTTCTAAAAAAATCTTATGCTTTCATTTTACTCAAATGGAAAATAGTTACGTTTTCTCATCTGGTTGGTAATATCTGGTACTGCCTTGATGTTTGTTCTCAGCCATGTTTAGTTAAAGACTAACTTCTCTTTCAGTTTTCTCTAGTTCGAGGCACTGCATGAGTGGTACTGCACACCTCCCTCTCTTGGTCTCTCTTTGCCCTGTTCTCCCAGGCCTCCTCAATAAATCATGCCGTCTTTGAAACATTTACATCTCTCGTGTTGCCCTGAATTGAGAAATCCAAACATCATTGGATTGCGGAGAGACATAAGATATTAAGGAACTTAAGATATTAATTTTGTGTCAACTTGTAACTTACAAGTGACTTTAGGATGTAAGCTAAGGCAGAGAAAAGTAGAAATAGAGACCATAGGAGGAGGAGAAAGGGGGATGTAGGACACTTTTGCTTTTTTATTTTTTGGAATGCACAAGATGCCATGGTTGGAGTGCTTATGAGTTTTCACAGAGGTCACGAGGTTATTACATAAACTGTTCATGTAAAGTGCTCTTGTGCCTTTGGGGAATGTTTGATGCCATGTTCACAGAAATATTGCACTGTACAAAAAAATTGAGCATGTGATATTTTTCTGTCTGCATTCACATTTCAGGATTATAGACATTTCAAGACCATATAATTAATTTGGTCAGTAGACTCAGGGAAACGACATTTATGACATCAATTAGATCCAAAAGACAGATAAAAACTTAAAATAAGATTGGGAAAAAATAGATCAAAAGTATCTTCAAAGGCTCGTGATACAGCAGTGAATTCCCACTGCCTCCCCTAAAAGGTTGTAATTTGAAAAGCTCATGTCTGGATTGGTACTTAGACGGTCAAATGATTCAGTCCTAAATTGGACGCCGAGCGCAGCCAAATCAGAATACAATTTAGCAAGCAAATCTTGATCCGGCTTGAAACATGTAGTGGAACCCAATCCCTGGATTAGCTGTGGACTTTACAACTCAGCGATTGGCTTGTTGCCACACACTTGGCTGGACAAATATCCCATCTCACTTGTTTTGAGCACAGTACTTAGATTTTCAATCTGTACAAACACCTACTTACTACAGCTTAGACCATCTTAGTTAACCAAATGGCTGCTGTTAAATGTGTTAATCTATCAGGGACAATATGGTAAGAGTGTGTAAGCCTTCCTCCTTTCAATTTCTACACACACTAACACTTTTACGTACTTACACGGTATTTTGTAAGGTTACTGTAGATATAAAAAATGTCTTTAATCATCATGTTATGTCAAAGTATTATATCCCGTAAAGCTTTGAATCTGCCATTCTTTGTTACATCTAGGTGTGTCAGATTTATGTCAGCTTGATCTATCAGATTTTACAAAGTTTTCCACCCTCTCTGACCTGTTGTGAATTGATTCATCCCTGAGGAAGAGAGTTTATCATATTGACTCATGGGGTGTCTTGCCTTTAAATGTGTTTTTTGTTGTGTCTGATTTTTTATTTTATTTTTTTAAAGAAGACTATCCCCCACCTCCTCCACCTTTCATTGACACCAGCAGACTCCCATCTCCATCCAGCTTCCCACCTCCCCTGCCAATGGATGAGGCCTCCCTCGGCTTTCAGGTGAGATTTGCTAAACCGCTTATCACAATATACTGTATGGTATGACCCTCCAGTGGGGCCCAAAAGTCAATTTTGTGAAAATGTTCATTACATTGACATATTATATTACAAATGACATATTAAATTAACAGCACAAATAAAAATTTGAATAAAAAAATATTTTTCATAGTAATAGCATTTAAACCTCTGTTTTATTTACATCATGCACTCAAGCTGGCATGAACTGCACAAGCTTTTGAAAAACAAACATGATTTGTTAGTGTTCCAAATGATGTGCTTCAGTGGAAGCAATAAATCTCAGTTTCAAAAACTTGACCCTTATGACTGGTTTTGTGGTCCAGGGTCACATATAAGCTTTTGTACAACATTCACATGGTGAATTGATTAGTGACCTGAAATGAAAAAGTGCAGAATCATAAATGTTTCTTGTTTTTTTATTTTTATTTTGTTTCTTGTCAAAATTCCTTTTAAACATTTGAATCCTAATACAAATTTAGGACAATTGAAAGTTTCATATCCCTTTTCATGTGTTACTGACAAACCGTCAAAAGGCCGGCCAAGTCTTTTTTGTGGCTGTTTACTAGGTGTGTGTCCTAGTTGTTTATATCTCCCTTTAGTTCATTTGGCACTGGTTTAGAAATGAGTCAGGGCACAGGGAAGGCTGACACCTATTGGTTCACCACAGTCATTTTCCCCCTAAGGGAGTCTGTCCTCCCTAAGAAACAAACTGTGATTGTCCATCCATTAAACTACAGCCTCAAAACTGTTTCTGAGTAATATTCATTGTAATTACACACTTTTATTTTTATTTAACACATTCAATACATACTGTCTATATTTCTATACCCAGTGAATTCCCAGGGAATGCATGGACAGATAATAATGTGTAAAAAAAAAAACTCATTCTGCACTGTTCTAGCAGTACACAATTTATCTAAATAATGTGAATAGTTTAGATTTTACATCATTGTTTTTACTTCGGCCTGCTGATAATGTGTCTGTGTAGTTGCAATTTGACTGGGTTTGCTGCAAGACAGGATCCAGTCACTGATGAGCGACGACGAGACGCCACTGATTTTTTGTGAGATACATGTACAGTCTTCATCAGGGGTACAGAGGTTTATTTATTTTTTTTTTTAATAAGGCTGCTTTATCTGCCGCTCAGAATTTGACTATACAGGCATGTTCTCTGCTCTATTAAAACCCTCAACTGGATCTCTTTCCCACGAACGCTGCTCTGCAAGGGAGGAAGCCTGTCCGGAGGGAATCAGTGCGTTTGTTGATCTAGCTCTATGGAGTCAGCGGAGTCAGACGGTGTTATCGGCGGATAATTAGGCTAGTACAGAAAAGACATCAGACTGTAGCGGCAAGATCTTGATTCCTCTGTAAAAATGAATGGCATTTTGGAGTTAGTTTAACCGGCTTTACATCTCAGACGAGAGGAGATCAGTGACAGCAGATGGTTTGTGACATAGAAAAGAATCCACGGCAAAGCACATTTTGTTGTGCTCATCACACCATTCCCCTGAAGACCTTTAGCTCTTGATTCTGATAACAGTACTAAGTCTTCACGTGTTGTGGGTACTTTACCGAAAACGAGCGGCAATATGCTCGACCCGCAGCTTTCCCTAATTCCAGTTTTCTACATCTTTCATGAATGAAAAAGGGGATGTTGAATTATTTCTGCTCCTAAGCAGAACTAACAAGAGGAAGAGGCCGGAGTGGCGCGGTGAACATGAATAATCAAATGATACTTGGCCTAAATTCTTTTGTTTCCCGTAACAGAACACGTAGCAACACATGCAGTCTTTATTTAACTTCACTTATCTGTCTCTGTGGTTTTTCATTAAACTCAGCACTTAAATCAGCTTCCTTTCTTCAAACGGTGCTTACCAGAATGCAAATGGATGGCTTACATAACCGATGGAAGTGCTTCATTAGATTGCTATGCCTTTTCTTTTCATAAAGCTATTGAACTGACTGACCAGTTCTCCTAATGGAATTAAGATATTTCACCTAAAATGGCTCACAAAATAGGGGCTAAAGGGAAAATGCTTACATACGTGTGTAAGTGTGTATTTTCCAAAGGCTTTATGTGTTATTACAGTATTTTATTTCTGTAAACTCTTGTTGATCTTTTTGTGGTGTGTGCATGACTCAATCTTGGTTGCTATAGGAACATGGCTAAAAAAAAAAAAAGTCTTGAACCTTTTATAAATTGCAGCACACAGTATAATTAATAATGAAACAATACAGGGAATTGCACTGTGGAAATAGCCTCAGAAGTTGCTTTTGATCACATAATCATATGGAACTAACTTTGTATTTATTTCCCTTATTTACATAAACTGTTCTAAAACAGATCTAAATCAATTCACGAGTCATTTACGCAACTTTTGCATGTAGTTTGTCAATGCAATCTTTTTTAAACATGCTCTACATGTGCTGAAATACTACTACAGTATGTGTATTTACATTAAACCCCTGCCATATTTTTTTAGGCACAAACAAGTTTCCTTTTTATGTAAACTAAGCTTATTATAGCTTGTGCATCTTCAGAAATCACCATATTTGCCTGCCACAGTTAATGTTGCGCTATTACTGTAAGTTAATTTAAGAGATGTTTATTTTCTGACGATCATGGCAGCAGTTATTCCTCAAATTTACATTTGACAGATGCTTTTGTCCAAATTGTCATAGACTGCATTTAATCAGTTCATGCAATCCCTGGGAACTGAACCCACGACCTTGTCATTGTCAGCGCTATGTTTGGGATATGGACAGGCTATCATCTGATCAAAATGATGGAGAAGAGCATTATAATTTGGCTTGTTTCCAGACTTTGAAGACTCAATTCAGGTTCTTGTATCTGCTGTACAGTCCTAGTCAAGTATGTGAGATCGCAACCTAGAGTTAGGAACGAAGCCGGAAGATGGGGAATTGCACTATGCAAATAGCATTCAGCATTGTAACCGTGTTTGTGCCCGTTACATGTTTTGCATAATTCATTTAGTGAATCTGTCGCTGAATAACACAAACAGCAGGTGCAAATAAACCGCACAATCAGCAGGCGCAATTCATTCTTAATTAATCCCCCCACCGCTTTAAGTTCAAGTTTAAGTTCACCTTAGTTCAGGACCTTAGCATTAATGATGCAAACCTCTGTTTGCCCTTTCCTCGATTGTTCGGGAAGCTTTTTAGGGCAGACTAAAGTAGACCAAAAAATATAGAGCCAATCAGTGCAGAACAATATTATTTAGGATTTAGTTTCACAAACAAACAAATAAATAAATAAGTAATTGTTACCTGAGCACCAAACTGGCATTTTAGAATGCTTTCTGAAAGATCACGTGACACTGAAGACTGGAGTAATACACAAACAAAAACTATTCACAAAGCTATGTCAATGCACATAAAGGATTTTTATTTATCTAGTGTCATGTAAAGATGAGGGAAAAGAAAGAAGAAGCCACAGAGGACAAGAAGAGATATCAGTGTCCTTCAGCTGTGAGGGGAGAAGGTTGTGCCCATTTTGATGAGGAGCGAGAATGTTGTCAAAGTCTGCCCCTCACACCTTTTTTTAGTCACATGGCTGCCATTCCTCAAATGCCTTTGATAATTTTGTTCTTTGCTTCCTCTCCGACATAAAGGACAGGTGTTGGTGATTGCAGATGTATTGCTCATCCAAGACTTAGACTTTAGAGTCACTTGTTATACATACAGTTTTTGCTTAAGAATAGTTAGGAAGACCTTAGTTTGCCTTACAATATTTTGTATTACAAACTATTGTCATTAATTTGCCAATTTACTAAACACTTGTGCCAAACTGCTAGTATAGAGCAGTCCCAGTATTTAGATTAAGTGAGGTAGGATATTTATTTATGGATGTGTCGTGCTACCTCAGTGTAAACATCTTATAAAGAAACCTGCAAGTGTGAATAGAACTTTGTAAGAGTGAAGCTTTGTCATTGTCAGTTTGGGAGACAGTGAAACTTTTAAATAGAGTGAAAACAGATAAAGCGGACAGCGTGAGAGGGAGAGAGAGAGCTGAAGGGTGATTCAATTAATATGAGATGAGCTGTCTCACCAACAAAGCATTATTTGTTTTTTTGTTTATTCTTTCACATCACTGAGATTTTCTCCTAAAGACGTTCTCCCAGACAATCGTGTCTTGTTGTTACAGTAATTCACTTTCAGCCAATTGTCTGAGGCCACGATTAATTTTAATGAACATGTAAAAGACAAAGCACAAAGACAAAAAAAGGTCTAATGCTCAAGGTGTTGTGTAATAGTAGCCCACAGTGGATTATGTACCGTATTTGAGAGCTAAATTGCCTTCTTTATGTATAATATGTAGTCATTTTTCTTTTATTTTAGCATGCTTTGTTCAAGTGTGATTAAGTGGGTTAGCCGATGTAGAGCAACCTTCTTTCTAAAAGACCTAATTTCATTACAGGTTACTGTGTCTGTGTGTTTCAGCTAAAAGGACCTGAGAAAACTCTAGAAGAGAGACGTTCTAGTCTGGATGCTGAGATCGACTCTCTGACCAGCATCCTGGCCGACCTAGAGAACAGCTCACCATACAAACCATGCACGCCGCAGGTACAGTCATTACAAACACACTCCCAAACCACCTCCAACCACATTACATTAAAGACATTCTGAAAGCTTCACCAATTTAGAAATTGTTGCATTTAATATAATACAGCATTACATTTATACAAATGCTCAGTAAACGTTAAGGTAATATTGAGTAGCTTACATTTTAAACACAATATTGCCAGTTACCCTGTCTGTTTTTGCTCCTCCAATGAAAATATTACCGAATGAAACCAAAAAAGAATCAAGTATTGTGTGTCTCTCAGCAACACACAGTAGCAAAGATTAGTTCCTGAATGAATCAGTATGTTTGAACAAATCGAGTGAATGAATTCAGTGACTCCTATTGGTGTGAAACCATGTAACCTGCGGCCATTCAATTTTAAGGACCAAAACTTTAAATAAGATCAAATAAGTTCAGATTATCCTTACAAATGAATGTGGTTCACAGCAAGTGGTTCTCCATTATAGTGCAATTTAGGATGTATAACTCTGGTAAAATGACAGTAAGTCAGTGGCTGAATGTGAATAGGTATATAGAAATAATTGTTTCTGTTCTATATATATATATATATATTTTTTTTTTTTTTTTGAGAAACCATCATTCACTATGAATATTCATGCTTGGTGTGAATAGGTCTTTGAAGAGGTACAGTGTGTCACCCATCTAGAGTGTCATCTATAATTCTGCACAGGCTGCAGACTTGAATAAGAACTCAAAATCTCTTATTTATTTTTATGTTATTATTTTAACTTATTCATTAGCCTTTAGTTTGGATGCGGAGCATCCAACAAACACACACAAACAAACAAAAGGACATTAACTAATTTAGGTTGCACAATGAGACAGATGAAAAGCAAATCAAAATGTGTAAGTGAACCAGTCATTTCTCATTTTTGGAAAGTGTTATAGTCTAAAATTATAATGACCCATATCATTAATAGATATCAAATGAAGTTAAGAGCAGACACTCAAGTTGAGCCCTAGGGCACTTTACTAAATAGTTCAACACACAATGAATGTAGGCCAGTGCATTCGGAGTCAATTCTGTCGCATTTGGAGCAACCACAAGTCCCTCCTGTTGGCAAACAGCACCACAGATAGAGCTCGCCTTATTACATAGCTAAAGCTTAATAATGGAGAGTGTTGTCTCTGAACTAGAAACACCCTGCTTTTGGCAAGCGGTCTCTATTCCTCTTTTCTTCTCTGGGGTCAGTCTATTACATTTGCTGATCTCCAGAGTCCTCGACAGGCACTCTTTTAAAATTATTATTGAGCATAAAGTCTGCACAAACACAACTCTGCAAAAAAACTCACTCATAAATTGATCTCTGTAAGTATTTGCAATATGCTGATAGCTACAGTAAGTACTGTCTGATCATGTCCATTTGTTTATATCCTGAAAATCCTGTATTAAGATGACCTGAATGAGCTTTAGGACTTCTAGCTAATAAAGTATGTTCTATAGGTGTACAGTAGTGTAAATATATTAACAGAAATACTACATCCACCATTTTAACATTGACCTTTGACCCATATGTTCTACGATAGATAGATATGGATGGATGGATGGATGGATGGATGGTTGGGTGGGTGGATATACTGCTAGATAGATAGATAGATGAGAGATGGATCGACAGACACAGACAGATAGATAGATAGATGAGAGATGGATCGACAGACAGACTAGATAGATAGATAGATAGATAGATAGATGAGAGATGGATCGACAGACAAACAGACTAGATAGATAGATAGATAGATAGATAGAACAAATTCAGACTCATGAATTGAACTCTACCTATGGTGCTTATGCTTGAAAAGAGGTGCTCGTTATGCATGGCCTCATGGGATAACAACGATGCTGACGGGGTATTGTTTGGCCACTGTATCATAAATACTTAGCATTCAGAAAAGAGGTGCTCGTTATGCATTTCTCTGCCATGTTTCTTTAATGTTGCCACTTCCTCTGTTCCCATGGCCTCATGGGATAACAACGATGCTGACGGGTATTGTTTGGCCACTGTATCATAAATACTTAGCATTCGGAACCCTACTCATTTGATGTACCGCATTTTACACAATGTATAACAAAGACGTACATGTATCAGACAGAGAGAGGCTTTGAATCTGAGCCACAGACATGTTTCCTAAGACACATAGTCATGATGGAGCAACGCTGCAGAAATTCCTGAGGGAATCAGAGAGCTGCGGGGTCAAGAGGTCACATATCAGTGTCTGAGCCAAAAGCTCTGTTTTTATAAAGAGCGAAACTGGCTTTGACCTCAGTTCAGGCAAACGCAGAGGCCATTGATACAGTATGGTGAGAAAACAATGTTGCTCTCAGCAAAGTCAGCCTGGTTTGGCAACAAGTACTGCAAACACACACATACACACACACACACACTGAGAAATATGTACACTCAAATTTAAAGCACACAAACAGCTACACTCACTGACAGTCGCACATTTTGAAAGGTCATGCACCTGCACACTTTTGAAGTGGCAGGTAAGTTTTTCCTAAATAAAATGCAGTCTAAGTGCAGATCTTTGTAAAAGTACTTTGTGAGAGCTACAAGTAACAGAAAGGAGTCTGAAAGCTTTTGTCAGTAGACAGGCAGAGAAAACACAGTGTTAGAGAGAAAACAGCCTGAGTAGTTTCTGGTATCGGGGTTAAATCTCAGGATCAGTCTCAGTTGCTCTGATATCTGCCTGCTCATTTGACCATATATGACAGCGTTTCTCCACCAGAGCGTGAAATATGTGTAAAAGAGTTTAAGTGTGAGACAGTGCTAGAATCATCACCTAGTGGCCAGCTATTATGTAAAGATTTTGGTGTGTTTCCAGTGTTCATAGACTTTTTCAATGACAAAATGAGAGATCACGAATTTACTATGTTATTGTAGAAATATTTATTTTAAATTAACATTAGAATTATATGGAACGTGAAGTGTCTTAAAATGTTTGGCTTTTCCAAATCTCCATGATGAGAAATTTGTTTCTTATGGGAGAATTTTTTATTTTTATTTTTTTTGTATAACCAGAAACATGTTCAATAACATAATATTAATAATAAACATTTCAAGTGCCACCAAAGATTTTTTTTTATTTATTTTCTATTTCTATTTCTATTCACACACACACACACACACACACACACAGCCTTTTGAAATATGGGGACACTCAAAATGTCCTCATAAATCACCTTCTTGTTGTAATACTTATGTCATACCCATGTCATTATACAAATTTGTGTCCTCATAAATCACAAAAATGCACACACGTGCATACACACACACACGCAGTTTAATAATATAACAATTTTTTTTTTTATATGTATTTAATTAGTACTATTATTTTCACTTATTTATTGTAGTAGATAGTCAATAGATATATACAGATTTTGGTGTTAAAATGTATTCTATAAAATTATATAAAAAACAGCATGGTATATATTTTGTGATGCTGTATGAAATAATCAAAGGTTGAAGGTGTGTTATTTGTTTTAACTGTACTGAACCCACAATTTACTTTATTGAGAAATAAATTACATGTCTAGGAACAAATATACATAATTACTGTAAATTAATGCAAATGATTTTGGGTTAGCATTTGGCTAATGAAAATCCTGTCATTTCAATTCATATTCCAATTCATAAATTCAAAGTGACCCTGTTGTTAAATTCAGAATTTTGCTCAATGCTGACACAAACACGCACTCTTATGTACATTCCAGCTAATGTTGCTTCTGGCTGATTAACTGGATTTTACCTTTTTTATTCATTCAGCAGATCCGCCAGGCCTTTATTTTTCTCTGTCTATGTTATATGAATTATCAGAGTGACTCTGGGCTTGTTTAATGTGCCAGGTTTTATAGCTGAGGCCACTGGCACAGCTGCTCTCTCTGTAATCTTCCACTTGTACAAACAGTATCAGCGTCCTCAGTTTACAGCACTCCCAAATCACAGAGCCTTCTCTCAAAAATCAATAGGAGTGCTCTTCCCCTCATCCCTGCTTTGAGCTTTAAGGAAAGGGACTTTATCCCAGAGTTCGTGGAAACCTGTGGTTAAAGGACCTGCTTTGTGATCTTTATCGACTCCTGTGTGTGAAATGGCAGCTGAATTTGTTTTGCTGCTTTGATGCTTTCCAAACCTATTGAAGAAGTCTCTTTGCTTTAGTTGGTGCTCTGTGGGTGTAACAAGACATAATGAAATGTGATCATTTGCTTCCATCATTCATCTCTCCAGCCATACCCCTGTCCCTGCAACACAAACACACACAGAGTGGGATCCATCCAAGAGGCAATTCTGAGTTTGGCATAGATTAGCATAGATGTTTTCCCCTTTCGTACCCACCGTGTTGAATCAGAAGTAGTCTTTATGGGAATATAATGAATGGCTCTCTAGGGAAGACATCACATTTTACAATAGCTATTTTTACAAGATAAACCTCTACATAATGCCTCTTCACCACGTGAATAATATTAAATATTGAAGTTATATTGGAAAATGAATCAAAGCATGGAAATATTATGTTAATTGATCTCAGAAAAATTCAGTCAACAAAATGATTGCATATAAAAAAATAGATTTTATTAATCTTTGTGAGAACATTTCTAGTTTGTGGAAATGACGCCACGACTGTAGCACAGTCATGATTTAAAAAAAAAAAAGTAAATCATTCTAACATAATAAATATCGAAATGTCATATTTATTGCATTATTTAAATTATCATAGTTGAAATATGTAATAATTCATATTTTTATTATGGATTATTTTTTACAGTTTAACATTGAAAGTTTGGATCTGAAACAAGGATATAATTAACGTATCTATATATAAAAGGCAAATGTTGATGGTATGGTTAAAAAGTTTTGAAGACAGTTTAAATGTGGTTCTTTAAGAAAAATATGAGAAAAGTTGAGATCTGTGAATTTTAATAACAATCAAAGTAAATAAAAGTGCACAAAGTTGAAGAAACAGCTATTACCATGTTAACTGT